AAAGGTTGCAACTGAAGTTTACAGAAATAATATCGTGGACTTCTATAACATCGTTGGTAACTGTAGCAAACGTGTTTATGTTAGAAAGATTAGACATCATTGGCGATATCTGTACCATCGTTTGGATGGTCTTAGGTTGCGTCTTCCTACAGCTTTATTCTCTACAGTAGGAAGGTACATGAGTCAAGACAAATTATTTCTGAATGTTAGGTTGCTCATGCTCTAAGGTCTATTCAGTTGTGGATATTAGAATAGCTATACTTTTAATAAACTTAACATGGTCATTGTCTAAAATGCAGATGATTTCTTCATGTCAAATGTCTCGGTCAAAATTCGTAGCATGCACGCAATTTCTAAAAGTATTCTACGGTTAGTTATATTGATATAGTTCTATTTTGTAAAATATCTTTCGAATCTCTCGCCGTATAACGACGTTTATAAAATAGCCAATGACAATTATTCAAGCTAATCCGAAACGTGTGACGGTTTGCGTCTAGCCAGTAGGTAATTTCAATACTAGGGTAGCATGCACAGTAGCGTCAGTAAGAAGGACTGAAAAGAGAAAGAACTAGAAGAGTGAGCTAGTAAATCGACAAGCTCAAAAAGTGCACACACATTTATTAAAAAGCGCAAAGCTCTTTACTCTGCAACAACTGACGCCTCAGATCATGATAAGCTGAGAATTGAATTCAGAAGCAGATAGTTTAACCTACTGCAAACAGGGCAAACAAAAATTTGTGTGTGCCATTGCATGAGTCTTTGATATCATCAAGTAAGCCAATGGCCTCAACATGCAAGATACCTTTAGGACTCTTTCTCTCACCGATTCCTCATTTCAATCGGAAAACGACATCATATTAGATAGTCAAAAAGAAACACTGAGCATGAAGCTAAATACTGAAAAAAGTTCCATTTTTAATGAAGAAACATTAATGTAAATTTAAAGGAGTGAAACATGGAGGACAGTTGCAACGTAAAAATACGAATAAAGATTCGCAGCTTTCAGATATGGTTTAGGTGAATTTTCATAACAACTTGCTGTAGGTTTTCGAGTTTTTGCTTTTTAATAAATAACAGATGGCCGAAATATTATGGTCAAATTCGAACATTTTTATTGGTCTTGTTTGCATCTCTTACTTACATTAAATTTGGTAAGAACAAGGTAAACAGTTTGGGTCCCAAAACGATGAATTCAGGGAATATCGTGTGTTTATTTTCGCAACCAACACTGTCGAACTGATCGTAGGAGTATTTGCTCTCTAAAAAAGCCCTAAACGTAGATATCGCACTTTCTGGATATCACAAACAAAGTGAATTCTCACTGATACTCTGTGTGGAACTCACAACTGAATTGTTTATGTCACATGTGTGGTCCCTTAGCTAAATCTCATACTCAGTAGAACTAAAATGTTTACCGTGACTAATTACTGAGTGATGGTCAACGTCGTGCCTGTTTATTCTTTTATGATAACAATAATAACTTATTCTCAAATAACAGTCTGTTACATGAAGCATGCCAGTTTACAGGCAAGATCAAATTGTTACAGATGATACACGCTTCACTGTAGTAGGTTACTCATTTATTTCATACGCATAGTTTCATTTATTATCTCAAGAGTAAGAACGATGATTGGTGAAGTATAATATGAATTCGTCATATGTAGTTAGGTTCTCATCAGCTGCTTACAACCCAAAATATATGAAAATCAACGTTACTGCAGATATTGACAAACTTACGTATAAGAGGGTGAATAAAGATGACTATATGTATCATGATGTATCGAAGATTTCAGTAGAGTTAATAAGGTCACAAAAATTTCATTCGAGTAAATGAACTTTGTGAGGGAAAGTTCTAGAACATTGAAATAATGATAAGAACTCATATAGTTACCAAACAATAAATTTTTGTGTAATAAAGCAACTGAAAGTAGATTAATGGCAGTAATGAAAGATATAAATTGAAATCATAAGTGACTGAAAAAGAAAATAAGCAAAAATATGGTAAGAATGGACAAAGAACCATGTAAATGAGGGTTAACATATAGGATTGTGTATAGTTTTAGGATATAGTACTGAAAACGGTATTCTGATACACGTATAGCTATCTCTTATTTCACATCAAGGCTAATTCATCTCGTTTTTCATTTTTATAGATTTTGTAGGGTCATGAGAGGACTTCGTTATCGAGAATCGTCCAGTTTTGCTTGTAATAGGATTTTTCAGCAGGAAGTGTAATGAATTGAAATTAACTCTCGACCATCATATTTGCTGATCAGTTTGCCGGCTGAATGTGGGATATTCTTATACGACTCACGAAAAACACTAATGACCTTACTGCCTTGTCGACGAAACACAACAAACTGTGACTAAATGATTACAAAACATCTAACTATAATGAAAGCAAACATAGGAACGAATTAAAGATGACTGCAGTTAAAAATTAACAACAGATTTGGAAAATACCCACGTTATGAACAGTAAAAAAATCTGCAATTCTTTAATTGCAAAATAGCACGACTAAAAGTAAAACCTACTCATCCATTTAAAACACAGTTTTGTGTCAAAATACTGCGGAAGCACAAAACTGTAAAACTGACGACTGGTTAGATTTCACCCCGATAGGAATACATCACCAAGAGAAAGGAATGGGTTTAGATGAATTTCGTATTATAAAAGGTGATTGGAAAGAATATATTATTATTACAGCAGAAGTTCACTTACAATTCAAACAAACCGTTTAACAGTCACTGACAGGAGATGTACATATTAAGTTGCAATCGTTCTCTCAGCGTTCTTCTGGCAAAAACTTGATACGTCTGCAAGAAAATAGCTGTAATCTCTCTACTGAGTGAATAAATTTACTTTCCTACCGGCTGTTTACACAATCGTACGTCTTCGCATTGTTTCATTGATGATTCACTCAATTTGGTTTGAAAATTTTATGTGCTATAAGTCTCCTTACTCCACAGACTTTATTTTTTCTCAAAAATCGAAATAAGCCCACACGTAAAGACATTTTAGTGAAGCAGTCAATGGTACTGCCACAGATAGATATATTTTTTGTTCCGGTGGCAAACGTAAGGTATACTATAAGCAAAGATGGACAGTGACCAGCAGAGGGATCCAAGACGCTCGTTTCATCCTACTTGAGACTGGTCAGCTGGATGTCAGAGCTGATGTTCACTCTTAGTTTCGAATCCCTTACCGTTCGCCTCAAACGCCATCGCATTATCCACTTAGCTACTGAGTCCTGATGGCCACTTGCTTGTACGATAAGGTGCGGTTTAAATTCATTTGGTATTGTTTACTTAAATCTTCAACACCAAAAGAGTGATGAACTCATTGAAAAATATATAACGGCAACCAGCGACACACAAAAATATAACTACATGTAAAAATACTGGACGTTACTAAAACTGTCAGTTGGAATCGTGTTTTAGTCTTCGGCCACATAATACACAGTAAAAAGACGCAATCAATAGGTCCAAATACAATGTGATTGATCCAAGATAGTCTGTACCATGAAAAATCAAGTCATATGTATATAAATGTGATCCGCAAACATAGATAGCTATCATATTAGGGATCATTTAGTATGTCATCTGATCAGGTAAGGACGAGAAGTTTTTGTGTATTGGAGTATAGTTGTGACTATTGATCAGAACCATGTAATCAGAGAAAAACGGTAACAAAAGTCGAGTGGATTTAAATAAAAAATTTTAAGTCATTAACATTGACTGTATAAATAAGATGCAGTTAGGAAAAGTGTGATTAACAACAAAACCTATTTACAAAATAATTTTTTGCTAAGCATTTCCACAGATAGGCAACTAGGAGACGATAGAGACAAACAATTTACTTATTATGCTATTAGTTAAATTCAGGATATGCTTCAGGACTCCTTCGTTGCGAATGATGTCAATTTCTGGTGAGAGTTTCAGCTCTAACACCTAATTTTGATGTACAAAATAATGAGAAATGATTTTGAACCTAACATATTCTCTTGTGGTGGACCAGACAATATATTAATCCAAAAGGTAATGATAGAGTTATTAATAACAAATAGCAATATTTATATATATATATATATATATATATATATATATATATATATATATATAAGTTAAATGTCATAAACACAATAGAAATAAGGAACGTTACTTAGTTTACAAGATGAGTGTGTGTTCCAAATTGATCTGGTTAAATTTCCACAATTATAGATGATTAATAATTCCTGTGAGTGTGATGGGTTCTTCAATGATAGGATCCAGTAGTAAATATGGTATATTCCAATTATCGTCTGTAAAGATAAATGGCACTTGATTCAGACTTCAGTTAACACAAATGCGAGTGAATTTAGAACGAGAGGTATGTGTGTAGTTGTGTATTTTGGAAACGACCACAAAAAGTGCCACGCTATGTTAGTATCACAACGGAAAAAGTGATCAAGATCATTTACTAAAACAACAGGTACAATGATTTAATAATAAATGTACATAGAGTGAACGATTGACAAAATGTATACAAATAATATTAAAAACTATTTACAAAATAAGTTCGACAGACCTATCTCCACACTCTCTTTTTTCTCAATGGATCATGACATCTCAAAGGACACAAAAGTTGAGTAGAAAAGCCAAGAACGAAAAAATACCCATAACATACAAGATTTCACCCGAGTCTTCAATACTTGGAGCGTGTTACCCGAAACAGTGGTGTCCGCATCTTCAATTGACTCATTCTAGAGAAGACTGTACATTCATAGAAGCATACTAGGAAAGGAATAACATAGGCCTTAGGCCTTCCGTCCTTAATACACAAATCTGAAATTTGAATCGGAATTTATTTTAATTTCCTAACATTAATTTCTAAACTTATTTCAATATTTTGCCACTTATTATTTGATTCCTCATCAAATCGGTTATATAATCTTGTTCCACGGAATTGGTTATTTTAACAGGCTTCATGACATTTTATCAAAACCAACACATTGATTTTATACTGAGCCAATGGAGCACCTTTCGAGGACTTCTATCCCGTGACCTTGGGGCCTAATATAAAATGGTTGGCTTGGTGGTTGGTTGATTTTATTTTTGTCCATCCGGGTTTGAGATGTGCTCATAAGTTCTCACTCACAGAAAAAACTTTATGAACATTTATGAGACTTACGAGCCAGCATCTATCTACAAATGACGACAAAAATGCTCGTTACCGGGGTCCTGCAAGTTCTCGGTCATTTAAAAAACCGATTCAGGACAAACTGGAAATTCTTTCAGTATCAAAAATTTCACCAGAATTTCGTGAAGTTGGGATTTTATCAGGTTATCGCAAGCCGTCGGCGTCACTTGCATTAGGTATCTGGTCTGTTTTCCAAATGCACAATGAAACCTTGAATATATGGACACAAATCATACCAGCCATTTATTTTATTGTTGAACTAGTCCTGAATTTTTTTCACGTTGGCGAACGTTTCCTTCTTATATATCTAATTACCGCTGTTATATTCCTGTTCACAAGTTCTTGCGCTCATACATTTAGTTGTTTGTCCCCTAGAGCTCGACACATATGTTTCTTTCTTGACTATATTGGGATTTCACTGTATTCTTATGGCTCCACTGTTTGCTACTATGCGTTTGCCCTGCCAGTTGGATTTTTGCGTCCTTCACCTTTTTTTAATCTTAATCTTAGTGATATATTCTTGTTCATCTCAGCATTGTTTTGTATCTGTGGTACGTACTTATCATGTCACACCAGATTTTGGAAACCTTCGATTTTTCGTAACACCATTAGAATGGGAGCGTTTGGGATTATTTTGTTTTACGTCGGAACTCCGATTCTTTGGCGTTCATATACCTGTAAGTATATGGCAAGTGAATATGAGTCTTCTGAATGCAGTTCACTATATTATTGGAACTTGCATTTTATGTCAATGTTTTCTGCAGGATTTTTGTTTGTCTCACACTTTCCTGAAAGGCTTTTTCCAGGAAGATTCGATGTTTTTGGTCATAGTCATCAAATATTTCACATATTAAGTGCCTTCGGTTCTATTACACAATATTATGCACTTAGGATTGATCTCCAGGAGCGTAACGCCAAATTAAGACAAATGTCGCACGCACCTTCAATTCCTTTCTCCCTGCTTTGCCTCAGTCTGGTCGTATTTTGTAACTTTATTATTTTTCTAAAATTTTACAAACGTCTTGGTGTCGTCATAGGATGCAAAAGATTGTAATTATGTTTATGTAACTGCTTTGTGTCATACGTTTCAGACTTCTGTATCTCAGCTTCTTCACCGTTTTCCATATTTTCATTTTTGACCAATTTGTTTGGTTCTGAGAGATTCATTGTTTTCCAGCACATAAACATCCCACAAATCCTGTTTTTACGCTTGTTACTGTTGTCTTTTTAGATTAAAGTAGCTTATTTCACCGATCGAACTACATGTACATTGCAAATGATAATTATTTTCAGATAAACTTCCTGTTCTTAATAATTTTCGGTTGGACGTAATATATTGTTTGAAAGTATGAATGTTGATGTAGTAGGTTAGCCCAGCTCAAACACATTTCTCGCTGCTTCTCTTAACCTAGTTTAATTTAGCTGGTCCTACTTAACAGACCATCTTGAGTTACCCTACCGTTTCCTAACTAGATTCCAATTGATTACTTCCATCTGAAGTGTATACTGACAATGTTATCTAGAAAGACTATGGAAGCATTGCAGTTAAACCCCACCACTTAAAAGATTCAACTCTGTGAAAGTTAAAAGTAAATTCACTTAATTTTAGCTCAATAACTCTACAGAACATCCTTATCGTTTCACAGGTCAATTATTCTAAACGTAAATTTTGGATTTTCTTGCAAATGTTACTAAACATTATCATCGCTATTATGCCTCCTGTTCACCTAATACACAGTAGATTGGTATCAGAAAATGTTTTACTCACCGGATGTCATTCAGTTGTTTGCCTCGAATATGAAGTTTTATAAACTAATTATTTAAAATAGCATGACTCAATTTTCTTCAAGGAATTGAGTCAAAGTCCATTACTTCCGTACATTTATTGATGCTCAGTTATTGAAATCTTCATGAAACTTCCATTTGTTGTAAACTTCTAAATATTGTATCATACATGCATGTATTTCGTCAAAAAGCTTGCTTCTAGTCTGCAACGAAATCACTGCTATTTTCAGTCTTCATTTCTTTTGTTATAATAAGTTTTTAGTCAGCCATGAGAAAATTAGAGAACACCATGTTTTTGATTAGTGAACTAGCACTCTTTGTCTAGAGCATTCAACAGCCGAATCAACAAACTCACTTCAATGTTTCCTTGTTTAAGTGAGAGCATTTGTGCTGCATATGGCACAGTTTGAACAGTTATGAGTAATAATTGTGTTGTATATCACTGTTTTACCTTACGAAATTCCATGCTATATGGATATCCAATGACTGAGCACCTCTGTAGAATTGTCCCGTATTTCTTGAATGTCTGCACTGAAAATAGTAAGCCTTTAAGCCCAGTATATAGATCTCTATTTGGCAAATGAATCGCGTTTAAAATTTAAGTTGTCTGAGTTTTTGATGAATTTGTAAAATGATTTTGGCAGAACCAAACCGCCCGCTTTATTTCCTGGTCAATACCCAGTTTCTTTGTGAAAAAATGTTACACAAATTAAAAACCAGTTGACAAAAGTCCATTCTAATGTCCTTTACCAAATCATTCTTTCAAAGCGTAACATATTAATTATGATTGCACTTATTGAATAAAGGCTGAGCTATCTATCTTTAGTTTTAAAAATGTTCAGTAGTCACTTATTTTGCCAATAGATGCTAGTTTCCAGTAATTTTTCCACTGTCAAACATAGACAACCTTTTTTCACCATTTTGATTTGTCATGATTCACGGTTTTTTTCTGTATCTTTCTGCGGTCGATTATTATTAAGTAAAATCTGTTGTGCACACTTTGATAAAAGAAAAGATTATGTGGGTGGGATCCTAACTACATATATTGTAGTCGATTGCAATGATACAGTTGGACTCTTTTCTTACATTATTTTCAGTCGTGATTATTTTACTCCACACTTATTCAATTTGCTTACAGTTATCTCTGTAACGCTTTGATTGTCATCCTTTTCATATGATTTCCTCTTCTGATGGTCGCCTTGTCGTTTTGATACGCTATGACAAAGGCGATTGAAACATTTATACCAGATTCTTTATTATTTTCTTGCAAACATTCTGGATTTGATATTTCTACATAATGAAGCTATAATTGATACACTTTTTTAATTCTGAATTAGGTGCCATTATAAGTGTAAAATATTAGCTGCTAGTTGTTATTTTAAAAATGCCTCATATGCCAGAATTCGTCTCACTAAACAAAAACAGAAAATAAGCGTCGTATTCTCAATGTCTCGACTTATATCCGACCTCGCTTGAAGTACGTTTCAAACGTGTAAGACATTTCAGCGTTCTGAAATTGGTTTGCTCTGGCAATCAGTTCAACAACATAAACTGCCAGAGTGCTTTTGACTTGTTATATCACCATCTGCTCTCTTCTACTCCTAATGGTTGAGTAGAGAATAAATACCAAAGTTTACTGTAATTTCCCTGATCATTTCTACTTCTCGTTATTTTAGATTCTTCTAGGGTATATCATAAAAAATTACGTCGCTGCGGAACTATATTACCTAATTTTCATCATAGTTTTAGTGAGTGGGCTGGGATACTGCCCGGGTGCCCAGACCGAAGCAGGTGGTTCTCTTAGGGGGCCACACCCCGTGCCTTTGACCTAAAGGTCTAGTCCACAAGGCAGTGGAGCATCGTAAGGAGATGCAGTCCCATGGAAGCCGGTGACCAAAAGTTGGTTCATACGCCATTTGTTCCTTCAGGATACTGGAGCCTATGTGCACCATAGAATTGGGATCCGGTTATAGCGCCGGACGTTCGCTTTCCGTCCTCTCATTTTCGTAAACAACACCCCCGCCACGTGAAGGCAGTGAGTAGGACTTCCCTGGCAGAGGCTGTATACGCGTGACCGTGTGAGAGTATTTCGAGAGGGAGGGCGAACCCTCCCCGCTCTCGGCCATACCAGGGCATTTGATGAACTATCTGCTTATAGAAAATATTCGTTTCTCTCCGACTAACATTGAAATGACTGGTATTATTATTATTATTTACTACGTCATTTATTCACTATCTCCTATTTCTACTTTTTGTATCCGCTTCGACTCAGACAGCAGCTCGCCTATGGTGCAAATTCAGCTTTATCTAAACGTTCTCGAGTCACTGCCTGGTTGAAAATTGTATGTTACTACCGAATATGAGTACTGAAGCAGTTTTTCTGAAACCACGTGCACCATTCAAACTGGCTGCCTTCAACGTTCGCACACTTATGCAGGTCGGACAACAGATAGGGCTGGCTATGTCTTTGGAAAGTCTTAATATTGATGTGTGTTGTCTATCCGAGACCCGTATTCAAGACCCTGGTGAAGTACTACAAGTTCGCTCTCCATCTGTCACTTCAAAAAGCTTGTTTTATGTGCGTTTATCCGAGGACCCTGTGGCATCTTCGTCTGGTCTTGCTGGCGTTGGTGTCGCACTAAGCGCAAGAGCTGAGGCAGCACTAGTCGACTGGATCCCCATTAACAGTCGGTTATGTGCTGTTAGATTAGAAAGTTTCATCAAAGTGAGAAGAAATCGGCGTGAGAAACGATGTCTTTTCGTCATCTCCGCCTATGCCCCGACAGATTGCAGCCCGGATGCAATCAAGGACGAGTTCTACCACCAGCTAACTGTTCTTCTCCAGAAAGTGCGTTCGACAGATATTGTAGTACTAGCTGGAGACTTGAATGCTCAGGTCGGGCGTCTAGGCACAGAAGAGAGTCGTTTAGGTGGCCGATGGGGACTCGTTGGTCGCAGGACAGATAACGGGGAACGTCTACTGCAACTATGCACAGACCACAACCTGTTTCTGGCTAGCACTAACTTTCGGCACAGTCATCGCCGATGTGCCACCTGGCGTCCCCCTTCTGCATCTCAAGCCTGGACTCAGATTGATCACATCGCGATCAGCTACCGCTGGCGTGGTTGTGTACAAGACTGCCGCTCCTTTTGGAGTACCTATCTGGAATCTGATCATGCTCTGGTCTGCGCCAATCTTACCTTACTTTTCAGTGGACAACGAAGTGACCGCCACCAAAGGATTGATGTTAGCAAGCTGGCTGCAACTTCTGTTGCTAGTAAGTACCGAACCGAGCTAGCTTCTAGGCTAGCTAGCATTCCACCGAAAAGTATAGATGAACATTGGTTGCGATTGCATGACGCCATGAAAATGGCGGGTCAAGTCTGTTGTGGGTTTGCGAAACGTCCCGCTTACAAGCACTGGGTTTCTTCTGGTTCCTTACAACTGATTGAAGCCCGTCGGTCTACTCCGGGTGACCGTGAGTTTGACCACAGACGAAGGATGTTACGTAATGAAATCGGGCAAAGCTTGCGTAAGGACCGAGAAGCCTGGTGGTCGGAGCGTGCCAGTGAGTTGGAAGCAGCAGCTGCATCTGGTAATTACCGGAAGCTCCTCCAACTCATCCGAGCCACTGGCAGCAAGAAGTTTGGTGTGAGGGAAACAATCTGCGAGGATGACGGAACGCCAATCACTAACATCCATCGACGTCTTGGACGATGGGCAGAATTCTTTGAAGGGCAGTTCAACTGGCCTGCTGCTCCGGCAACATCGGTCAAACTGTCCTGCCCTCCATGGCCGGTGACGACTGATCCACCGAATGAGGCGGAAGTCCGCAAGGAACTCCAACTCTTGAAACGTTACAAATCACCGGGCCCAGACGACTTACCTCCGGCTCTTTTTAAAGATGGTGGTGATTTTGTGACTAAGGGACTGACGACGTTGTTTACAAAGATCTGGGAACTAGAGAGTGTACCAACGTCATGGAATGAGTCGATAGTTGTCCCTATCTTTAAAAAGGGTTCACGTTGTTCCTGTAACAACTATGGGGGGATAAGTTTACTTCCGATTGCGTCCAAGCTATTGGCTTCCGTCATACTTCGTAGGTTGTTCAAAACCCGAGAAGGATTGAGTCGCGAGGAGCAGACTGGGTTTCGTTCCGGTCGAGGATGTATTGATCATATCTTCACCCTCCGCCAAGTGTTAGAACACCGCCATACTTATCAAAGGCCAACAATCGTAGTGTTTCTTGATATCAGGGCTGCCTTCGATTCGTTGGACAGAACTGTTCTCTGGGATTGTCTATTGAAGAAGGGTGTGCCTGAGAAGTTTATTAACATCCTAAAAGCCCTATAAACAAACACCTCAGGCAGAGTGAGGGCATACAATCACCTTTCTCCACTATTCCATTCGAGCAGTGGGGTTAGGCAGGGTTGCCCAATCTCACCATTCCTCTTCAACTTTGCCATCGATGACATTCTGGAAACAGCTCTGATAGATGTAAGTAATAGTGGTGTGGATCTGTTACCTGGAGAAAGACTTCTCGACCTTGAGTATGTGGATGATATTGTCTTACTGTGCGAGAATGCCCAAGCCATGCAATCCGCACTTAATCAGTTGGCAATCAGTGTCCGTAAGTATGGTATGTGCTTTGCACCTTCGAAGTGCAAAGTTCTTCTACAAGACTGGCAGGATTCTAATCCTGTACTCACTCTGGATGGTGAGCAGATTGAAGTAGTTGAGAAGTTCGTGTATCTAGGTAGCTGCATAAGTGCTGGTGGTGGTGTGAGTGATGAGATCAATGCACGTATAGTGAAAGCCAGAGCGGCTAATGCAAATCTGGGCCATCTTTGGCGCCTTCGTGATGTTAGTCTGGCTGTAAAAGGTCGGATCTACAACGCGACGGTGAGAGCAGTTTTGCTCTATGCTTGTGAAACCTGGCCTCTCCGAGTTGAGGATGTTAGACGACTCTCTGTGTTCGATCATCGTTGTCTCCGAAGGATTGCTGGCATCCAGTGGCAACACCATGTCAGTAATGCAGAGGTTCGGCATCGAGTGTTCGGTCACAGAGACGATAATGAAATTGGTGTCACCATCTTGAAACACCGACTTCGGTGGCTTGGACATGTTCTACGAATGTCGTCCCAGAGAATTCCACGTCGTGCATTATTTGCCGACTCTGGGACTGGTTGGAAAAAGCGGAGAGGTGGTCAGTATATGACATGGTGTCGTGGTATGAAAGAAAGCTGCAAAGGGCTAGCTTCTGTTGGTCCTTCACGACTCCCTGGTTGGGGTCCGAGAGACGGTGTAACGCAGTGGCTAGAGACGTTATCAGATATGGCTCAGAATAGAAGCCAGTGGCGATCGTGCTGTAACCTTCTTTTACTTTCTTCATAAAAAGTAGTTGTATCTTCCTTAACTGAAAGATCTCTTCTGATTGTACCTTTCCGTTTCCCCCACTATTGTTCTCTCTCTCTTCCTTTTTTTTTATAATTCCCCACGTCCATTACTTTTTTTTTCTCTTTTCTCCTTCTCTTCAAATTATCATTGTTTTGTGTGGCGCATATATATTTGGTGCCCCCCTGTACCAATATTTATGTGTTCAAATAAATAAATAAGTATTACCTAATTTATTTCTGTTTAGAGTATTTAATGCTTTATGTTATATCAACAGAATTCTTTTAGTATTTCATAATTTTGTCGTTGTGATTTAGCGGATGAAGTGTTTGGTATCGTTCAGTTAGTCAAAAAAAGTACGAGACGACTCTATAGTTTACTACTGATGATACGATTCCACGGTGTGGGCAACCGGAAAGTGACATGAGCCCTCATGCCCCCAAATGCCCTGGTACGGCCGAGAGTGGGGAGAGTCCGCTCTCCCTCTCGAAATGCTCTCACATGGCCACGCGTACATAGCCTCTGCCAGGGAAGTCCTACTCACTGCCTTCTCGTGGCGAGGGTGTTGTTTACGGAAATGAGAGGACAAAAAGCGAATGTCCGGTACAAGGAGGCACCAAATAGATATGCGCCACACAGATCTCATTTGATGTATGTGAGGGCTATGATACTGCCTGGGTGCCCAAACCGAAGCAGGTGGTTTTCTTAGGGGGCCACATCCCGAGCCTTCGACCTGAAGGTCTGATCCACAAGGCGGTGAAGCATCGTAAGGAGATGCAGTTCCATTTTAGCCAGTGACCAACGATTGGTTCATACGCCATTTGTTCCTTCAGGATACTGGAGCCCATGTGCACCATTGGTTTGGAATGAGGGTTTTCCAACTCCTAGGTGGACTCTTCATGTCCATCAACCCGGTTAAAGCGCCGGACATTCGCTTTTTGTCCTCTCATTTCCGTAAACTACACCCTCGCCACGAGAAGG